ATGAAAATTATATACATGCAGGTGAACAAAACATTGAGCAGTGATCCATTCATTTTAATTTTAAAATGCTTTAAAATCTAGAATAATTAAAATTATTATTTAATTGTTAATATTTTAATATTATTYAATTCATMACCATTGATTAACTTAATTAAATTACTTAATTTGATTCAATATTATTTAATTATTTAATTGAGTATTATATATGTAAATGTATAGAAAGCTAGATTAAGTATAGTTGCATGATACTCTTRTAACCAGAGTGTTACAACTAGGATGTTTTTAAACATGTTATCTAATTTTTGCAATGCATATTTCAGCAACTAATTGCAATGGCATGCATTTATCAACTTTAGTTTTAGAATTCTGTTACACCAATGCACAGTAAAATTCTGCAGCCAAATCTTCTTAAGATCATCATTCGCAGCCAAAAATAATATAATTGAAAATGAATGGGAAAAAATGCAGTGCAACATATTGCTATTTAACACATTGCTATCATATTTATTTTTTTTTGTTTGATTTATCATTATRARAAAAATAGGCTGAGAGAATTACAGTGTTTTTAGTATATAGTATACCAGAAACTCATAAGGGGATTAATCCCCTTATGAGCTTCTTAGTATACCTTATAAGACCAGTAAGTCCCTATGAACAAATTTAGGTGAAATTTGAAATTGTTGCAAATCCCGTGAAACATAAAATAAAATAGAGTTCAATGTTGAAATTGGCTTACCTGTAGATGTCATTATAAATGATAAGGTTGCTTTTTACTGGCAATAGACTGTGGCTTATGATTTTCCCACTGTATCCATCTACAGCACACACATGTGTCACACCATACATAGCAAGTTTTTCATTTTGGTCTACGTGGAGTTTATGGCTAAATTATTGTGCACAATATGGAATGGGGTTCTTTAGTTGTTCAGCTCTGTTTTTCTCATTTCTTGGTGGCATGGTGCAACACGTGCCAGTGAAGACCCAACCCTTTGTTCTCCAGGGATCAATCCTTTGGATCTCAAATAACCTGTTACCATTTTTCTACCCCAGGTTGGTCCAACCTGTAAAGGATAATTTATCAACTCCTGTGTTCGACTGACAGGNATAGGTATAGACAATTTTATTAAAAACAAGATAATTCTTAGAGATATTTTCAATTCTGACGTTAGCCAATGGCATTCCACGTTTCTTGATAGCCAATGACATCCACSGTTAGGTCATGCGTTTCCCGCGCATTCTGTCACGTGCATGYATTAKCTGATGATACTCCGCACAACGTCTTGGTGTTAGGGTCTTTTACGAGCTCGCAAAGTTRTATGGTGACAATGTCGAAATCATTTGATATAAGTCGTGAAGGAAAAGACCTTAGGCTTAAGATAACTCTTGCTGATTTTTCCGTTAACCGTCTAGCCAGAGCATTTCAGGTATGAGAAAATGTAGTGTATTAAACTKAAATATATTCTACTGAATTGTGCGGTTCTCTTGATAGCAGATTGTTTCAAACTCTTTCGCAGGTGGAAGGAGGTTCGCTGTATTTAAAAGAGGAGTTTGGAAACATGTCCTTCTGGCYGAATGATTCGGGACGCTTTAACTCTAGCAACCTAGATTATGGCGCCAGTTTGCTTGTTATGGGGGACGATAAAATGCAAGATTSTTCAGAAACACCGTRTTCATCACAGACGCTGCAGTCAGCACTTTCATTCACCACACCTCCGCCAAATACTCGATCTTCCACAACCTTCAAAACCMCAGTGTTTGGTGCCTTGAAAAAGAAATCTGCAGTGGCCAAGATAATACACGCCAATATGAAAAGGATGGCAATGGGGTGCAGTTCAAAGAACTGAATCAAACTTTATACTAACTTTATTTTACTAAATCAAAGCATTAGCGAAGACGTAGCAAACGTTGAATACGTTCGCTCAAAGGCAAGAGAGGCATTTGGGGACGATMATCTAGTACTAGTCACGTCCAATGGCCTTAAAGTGAACGACAATGATGGCACTAGAGGTATGCATCAATATTTCACAAGTCATTATTTTCGCTTATTTCTAYAGTACGTTCAGCATTTATRTGTTAGAACGAATCGATATTCCTTTTTTGATTTYGGATGAATAATAAGCTAAATACTCCGATTTAGACATTTTCAACGTGCACGGCATAGACTAACTTACAAAAGTTTCAGGCGACAGTCGCAATAGAACGCCCAATCATTGCGCTTTATTCTCACGGTCAGGCCAAGAACCTGTGACGATAAGATCAAAATAATAGTACATAAATCCAATAATTGTCAGGAGTTTTTTTTAAGTTTTACGTTGTCATTTCATTT